ATGTCTCTTTTAGTCATTTAAAACCCTCTCTTTATCTCTAAGGCGGGATAAAATCTCACCATCCCAATTTAGTTCCCTTTCTCACGTAGATCTAACCTAGCTCTCTCGATACAAGGTATATATGCTTAGAAAATGGCAATATTTTTAAAATGACAATCTCTCAAAAGCTCTTACAATGCTAAGCATGAGAAATGAAAACAATGAGCAAAATAACACTTAAACATAAAACATCGAACCATCATTCGCATAAAATATAAACAACCAAAACAAATTCCAACGCCAAATAAGTTAGTCCATGGTGTGGCTAAGTTCATCAAAGATCATTCAAGTTTAGTACAAGCCTAAACAAGATAAGAATGAAGAGCACAAGGAGAAGAATACTCCTAAATGAGATGTTTTCGTGACACTTAGCTCTATCGCCATGTATCGCCTTAGCAAGCTAGCTTCTCTCGATGGCATATCTGCTACCCCTTTAAAGCTTGTATATAAAGGACACCATGAAAAATGGATGAAAATGAGGGAAAATTGAGGTTGGTTGCAGCCACCATTCTCTCTTAGGTCATATTCCAAAAGTTGCTCAAAATTTAGGGTACCTTTGGTATTTATAGAGGGAATTTTTCTAGGGTTTTGGGCCCTAAATTCTCTTTGTACCCTAGGTGTCATTATCCTCACGTTAATGGGCGATTAGTGTGGCAGATGGTCCCAAAATTAACAGCAAGGGAAGTGAGTTACGCGTGGTTGGACAGCATGGCAAAGATATTTTTGCTATTTTGTCTTCTCTGCTCTAGATTATGCTATCCAATTTTTACTGCGGCAAGTCTTTCTTCTCTACACTACAACATTCATCCAACAATCGCTAGGTATTTCTTTCAGCTTTCCTTCTCCAAATTGCTATGGTAGCCACATCTTCTCCTTAAACTTCTCTTGCCTACACAACACCACAAGAGCAAGACCTTTCCCTCAATAGTACCGGTTTTCAACAATTAAATGTTGCAGCAAGACATTGCCACCAAATGCAACTACATGACCTAAATGCAATATAAATGTTATGACATAAGATTTAAAACAAACAATAACCTAAGTAAAAAGGCACAAAAATACAGCCTTTTTACGGGATTATCAGCTGTCAATAAGTTTAGTCAATATATGAATAGTCCATATGAAGCACATTGGCGTGATGTCAAACGAATTCTCGGGTATTTGTGCGGTACCTTGTATTATGAACTCTATTTTCAGCAATTTGGAGCTCTTGATCTTGTTTGTTATGCTGATGTTGACTGGGCCACATCAGTTGAAGATAGGAGTTATACTTCATGTAATTGCATTTTTCTTGGTGGCAATCATGTGTCCCGGTGTTCCAAGAAATAACTTGTGGTTTCTAGGTCCACTTCGGAGGCCGAATATCATAGGCTAGCCAATGGTGTTTCGAAAGTTGTTTGGTTTGAGTTGTTATTGAATGAAATTAGTTTGTATCTTGTTATCAAACTGATAGTTTGGTGTGACAACTCATCTACGGTCTCCATGGAAGCCAATTCTAGTCATCTTGCTTGAGTTAAGTATGTTGAGATAGATATACATTTTGTTCGAGAAAGAGTTTTAGTAAGACAGTGTTTGGTTAATTTTGTTACTTCAGCTGAACAAATTGTTGACATTTTGACAAAGCCTACACCTCTACCTCTTTTTCGTCCGATGAGGCATCGCCTTGGAGTTCGTTCGTTGCTCGAGGTTCAAGAGACGAAGAGAACCAGGAAAATGTTAAAATAATATAAGTAAGCTGACATGGCTTGGGTTGTTAATCAGTTTCGAATAGTCTGTTACACTCGTTGGGCTTTGTATTTTTGTATTTGGGCTATGTAAAGGGACTAATACTTTGTATTGAATTAGGCTTTTAATGAAAAGTAAATTTTCCTATATATGTGTTTACTTTCTATTTCCTTAGTTACTGTTTTGGTGGTTCTGGAGACTTAACCGTCTTCTTTACTGTTCTGTTCACGGTGGTTGTAGATCATTTTAGTTTTGGTTTCTATTATTAACCTCTTGCCAACTTATGTGAGTAGAAATGTTGCTTTAGGTGCAACTTGCGAATCAATTTTTTTTTTTTGCATAATTGCTTCAATTTTGTCCACAAAGAAGCAATCTTAATTTATTTTAATATATCTTATAAAATTTGATATAATAAGCGTAGACGAATTTAAGATATATTAGTTCGATTCTTAAATGTTTTTCGTTCGTCTAATCTGATAATGCATATTGGACATTAGGCTTTAGGTATATTGTAATGAATTTTTTTGTATAATTAAAGCTTTGATTTTTCGTATTGATTGACGTTGATGTGGATGTCGCAGCTGTCTTAATTTGTTTAAGGTAAATTTAAGTGATATATGTTTTAAAGTTAGATTTTCAAAGGGATAATTTAATTCCAAAACGGGCCAAGCAGTCAGCTTAATAAACATATACGGGGAAGCTAAGCAAAACATAGTATTAGATAGTCAAACTGAAAATCTTCAGAACACGAAAAATAAGGATGATAATGAAAACCCTAAATCAAAGCCCGAAAAATATTACAGCTCAGTGACGGAACTTCATGGGAGCCAAGGGGAGCTGTTAAGAATAATAATGGAACTAAGGATGCACGTGATAGACTTGAAAGATTACCTCATTATTATTCAATATACAATAAGTTTACAGTAGCGTATATATATACAATATGTCTAAGCTAATTGTTGTACAACTGCTCTTCTAACTGCCTAACAAACATAAGAACCTACTAATCATATTTATTCTCTACTAGCCTTGACCTCCACAAATTATTTTTAAGTATTAATTAATATTAAAAAGATATACATTTAAAAAAATAAAGAAAAATTTATTAAACTCCCTAATTGAAAAGTTTGTATTTATGAAAAATAAAAAAATATTTTAATAAATTCTTAGTTTTGCCCCTTTTACAATCGGAACAAATATTTAAATATCCTAAAAAATACAAACAAAAGACAGAAAACCAACACAACTACTCAACTAACAAAACAACTAGTTCGTATATGTACATCCAAGAACTGATGCTCTTCGAACTGCAAAGAGCTTGCTGAAAAAGTCGAGAAAATGCATGATGATAGTTCTTTAGTTGACCAAAGAAAATCAATACAAAGAACATATTAACTCTAATCATGACGAAATTCAATTAGCTTTGTTTTTCTAAGACGTAACAGTTTATATCAATTTAATTGATCAATTACCTTTCGTCTGGGTGGGGCATGATTATATTCTAAGCCCGAAAATCACGCAAACAAGTCACTAACCATGGCAGAGTTGTATTATTATTCAATGGCTATTTTGGTGCCTATTGATTATACAAGTGACTGGTTTTTCATTGGAACAACCAGGGGCGGAGCTCCATTATGGCCCTACCCTGTAAAATTATTTTATGTTCGATAGATTTTGATCTAATTATATTTTAATTAACGTAAAACTAATTATTTAAATTAAGAAATATAAGAATTTATTAGATATTTAATCAAGTAGGGGTGAACTAAAGAATGATAATCCAATACCAACAATCAGTTGGTTTAGCGGGATGAGCCACTAGATCTCTTAAGTAAGGTCAGGTGTTCGCATCGTAGCGATTGCGAAAGGAGCAAACTGGGTTGGGAGGGTCGCCCTTGTCTCATTTAATTATTAGACAAAGTAAACATTTTTTTTTTCTGAATTGTGAGTTTAAATACCTAATAAAAAGTTTAATATTTCGGCCTCTCTCTATATCTAATCCTGGCTCCGCCAATCATGTTTTCCATGCACAGGCTCTGATAAGTTCATATATGATATATACATAATCATTTAAAATTAACCTAACTGAACGAGTCAATAGACTTCTGAATCAGTCCATTTTAGTTGATTAATGGAGTTTTACTTTCATTAAATTCAAATGATACTCTATGAGTTTGAATCATTGACTTTTGAATGTATATTTTCATAGTGATTGGATTTTCTAAAATTTTGGTACACATTTTTCTCGTCTATTTTCAACTTTCAGTTTCAATCATCATTTTCTAAAATGTTTCGTTTTTACGTGAATGATTATAGTAAGTTTTAAAATTGTTAATAATAAGTTCGATAATATTAATTTTGGACCGATCATCCACAGTTGACTTTTTATTCTTTTATTTTCATTCTCCTCTCCTCTCCCTGATCTGATTTGTGTTATTTTATGTGTGTAATAATCAGTTTTTCATTTTCGTACGAAAATTATGGATAGTTTTCTTTGTTCTTATAGAACGTTTCTTTTTTTTCCATAGGATTAGATTTGACATTGTTTCTCTAGATCTAAGTGATATTTATTTGATTATCATGTTGATTTATCTCTGTTTTCAACTCTCGAGTTGAATATTGGAAGAATCTCACAGTCACGGAAGATAGCTCAAAATTGAGTTATGGTCAGTTCGTTAAAGAACCATAATTGTTATATGTATTTTTATGTTAATGTTGATGGTGTTTATTCTTCATCACCGACAATAGTGTTTGTTTGTATATATTATTTATTTTTTCTCTATTTAATAAAATTAATTATTAACATTAATTCAAAAACTAATGTTTATAATATAAAGAAAATCATTAAAAATTTAAACTTGAAATTTAAACGATAAGTAAAAATAGTACATCTTCAAAATGAGCAATATATATCCTTTCTCTTTGTCTAAATTAAATCATATGAGTAATTAAAAATTATCAAATAAATTATTTACAATAGGGGTGTTCAAATCCAGATACCCAAATTTTCGAATACCCAATGTTTTAGTATCCGGGTCTTCGGGTAGTTGATTGACCGGCCTATATCCTGACCCAGATGTTACGAGTATCCAGATTTTACAAGTCAGGTACCCGGTTCCTAACATAAAAATTTTCATTTCCACTGCGACTAATCTGCCTGTAGAATCTAAAGCTCCATGGGCACTGAATTTAAAACGCAAACTTCACCCAAAAACGAAAAGGCATAGTAGTAGAAATTAAGCAAGCAAAAATATTGTATCTTCAAAGTTGCAGAAATTTCCTACTGCAATTGAAAAATAAGAATTCCCAGAAATATCCAAGTTCAAGGAAGAGAAAGCAGCCAAGGCAAGGACCGGAGCAAGCAAAAGATAAATCCAAGAAACAAACAACGCCAACAACTAAAAAGATAAAAACAACCCATAATTCCAAACTAAGAACTTTACTGGAATCAAATACAAGAAAAGAGAAAAGCATGATCAAAGAATTGCAGTTCTGGTAGAAAATATCTTCATTTGTACAGAAACAATTTGGAAAGACAAAAGGATATAACCGGGTATTCGGGTAACGGTACCCGAAAAAATGTTATTTTGTGACCTTAGCCCGACCCGAAAAATGTCGGATTGGATACCCGACCCAATCGAATATTTTTTAAAAATAATTACCTGGTTCTTTTAATTCGGGTCGATTGGTCAACATGGCCGGGTATTTTTTAACGCCCCTTATTTATAACTCATGTACTAAAACATAAAAAAAATACTCCTACCAAGTATAGCATTAATAGGATAAAAGATTATGCAAAATGATATGTGTTTATATTATTCGATATAAAATTAATTTATAATATATAATAAACCATTAGATGTGATCATCTTATTAATTAAGATGCAAACATGACCATACAATTCACTAACAATATCAATGTGTATACATATGCCTTGATATTGACATAACATCAAATATAAATCACATATCAACCTTTTAATCAAAGGGTTTAATCTAAAGATTAGGCTTTTTTTTTTTTTGCAATGAGAGATTAAAAAGTTAACATTACGACAATAAAAACGATGATCCGATCGTACAAACATGTGGACATGTTTTTTCGTTGGATGGTTTTTCAATGGTAATAGTTGGAGGATAGATACATTCATCACATAAAAACAATGAGATGAGAATGACCTACACTAATAGTAATCCATATTAGGCGTGAACAAAATTCGACTAAATTCGAAAAACCGATTTTTTCGATTCGATTCGACTTGAAAAAACTCGATTTGAATTGAGTTCGGGTTGTAAAATACAACTCGAATAACTCGAATTTTTTAGTAATTATTAGATTGATTTTCAAGTTTGAGTCGAATCCCTCGACTATGTATGGTACACGTGAATCATACATGAAAAATACGAAAAAAATATATATGTATTGTATATGGTTATAAAATATATGATTAATTAATTAATTATTGTTAGATATATAGGAATATTAATTTTGCATATTAATTTGTTTATATAGAGGTGCATTATTTTTCTGTGTATAGAACGATGTTGCTATTGAGTTATAGACATTTGATCTACCATTTAACGATCGCAAATCACATCATTAGCGGTTGTTGATAAATTTGATTGATGAACTAATCCACTTAAAGCCACTATATGTGGTTCAAAAATAAATTGTTTCTTTGATCGGACACTAACTGTAATTTTCAATAATATTGGAATAGTATTATTAATTCAATAATCCAACAATGCTAGTAGACACTTTTATTATGATTGTGGCACATAAAAGGATTAAAACCATGATCTTCCCCTGCTACCGTTTAATTAGAGGTGTCAGCTTCATCCTAAAAATTCAATCAGAAAAATCTGAATTTGAATTCGTTTATATTCGATTTGATAAAAAAAATTAGAGGCCGGATTCATTGATCAGAAGATCAACATAGTTTGGTTTCCAATCAATCCAATGATTAAAAATGGTGGCTCAAAAGGATTTAACTTTTTAGTTTCGATTAGGATTTGAGAAGATTAGAAGGTTATCTAACGAGTGTAAACCAAAGAAAAGAAAGAGAATAAGAAAAAGATGAGAAGTTTGGTTATCTTTTCAACTAAAAAACCATCAAACTAAAATACAAGGAAATGACATGATGGTCTAATAGAAACTAAACGTTAAAATTTTATGATATGTTATTGTTAATCAGAAATGACCATCCAGTTCAGTTGGTAGAGCACAAGGTTCTTAACCTTGAGGTCGTGAGATCGAGTCCCACGGAGGGTATTTCATAATTCGTAGGTCTCTTACGGAAGCTACTCTCAACCTGGTGTTGGGGGTAGCCTACTATCTTACCTCCCCCTTACTCCCAATATATATTGGAAAAAGGGACAACCATTTTTATTGTTAATCATCCAATCAACTAGAAATTAAAATATTTTTATCTTCTGGTTAAATGGAGCCTTTCCATCATTGGGATTGATTGGCGACCACTTCATTCATTGAAAACTTTAGCTTTTGTGACGACTGTCAAATTTGGAAAATTAGATTTTTTTTAGGGAAAGATTTTAACATGTTGTCGCAACAGTACCTCGGGTGGTTACAAGTTCACGTTTCGAATTGGATCGTGTGTGATGGAGTCGTCGTCGGTTTTTTAGATTAGGTAGTTCGGACACCTTAAACCTACCATTTTACTGGTCTACGTCTTACCATAGAATTGTCAAATTTAGGAGTCGATTACAAATGAGTAAGGATGATCACCCTCGAATTGCCTTTTCGATACCAACACGATTATAGGATATCTTAATTGTGAAAATTTGAGGTTTAGGCAAAAATTTAAAGATTGATCCAAATTACTTAACTTTAAGAATTTGTTACATTAAGAAAAAGTAAATTACGACAAAAAGAACTTGTTTAAGTCTAGTATACATTAGCAATGCAAAAGAGTTGCATATACCAAATAAAATAGCAATAAAATTAAAACATAGTAAATATGTGTGTGTGTATATACAAAAAAATAAAATTACTGCAAATAATTAAAAATTAAAGAAAGAAAAATATTAATTTTTTTAAGAAGAAAAAGATATTCCGTATTACGCTGAATAAAAAATGAAAAGATAATTGAAATCTAAAAAAATTAAGAAAAAAAGTAAAAAAAAAATAGAAAAGAATCAATGGCGTGCTTCAACGGAATTAAATATTTAACTTATGACAAAAGTGGGAAAAAATCAAAGTGAAATAAAATAGGGTAAACTACATACAAGACCTAAGGATATGATTTAGGGATTTTAGGTATTTTGGAGTTTTTTTATAATTTTTGAGATATTATGGTTTTTTTATAAATATAATAATATTTTTTTAAAAATAAATTTCAAAATCACCATATTGTAACACGTGTTACTTGACGGAGGAAATTACCGTCGTTGACGGCCCGAGTTTGAAACGTTAGGCACCTGGATTGGTCAAAAAATAGTTTAGACACCTATTCGAGAATTTAAGTATAATTTAGACCCTTATTGGTAATAAGCCTAATATAATTTACCCTTTAATTTAAATCAAATTAATTCCAAAATTTAAATCAAACAACATGACGTATAACGGTATTATCCCAGGTTGACATATTCCACAATTTGCCTTGCAACATAGCGACAAATAAAGCTTTAAAAGTAATATAGGTCTCTCTTTATGTAGCAACGTAGCTTTTGAATTTTTTTTTTCATATCAACAAAGCAACCTTTCCAGAACGAACTGAAATAAATAATTAAAAATTAGATTATGTCGTACTGATGGTATAATGAAAAAAAATATTTTATATTTTCAAATTTTATTTCATAATAATCGTTTAAAAAATAAAAAAAATTGTGTACAAATTTATAGTAGGAACATATGTAATCATCATGGAATTGTATAATAGTTTTTATACGAATTAAATTAAAACCTAAACAAAAAATTGTTCAATATAATAATTTCTTTTTCTTCTTGTTTTGTATTCGTTGAATGGGGTCGTCTTCATTTAAAAATAAAAAATTAAAATCCTGAGAAAATGGGGTTGTTTCCGGAAAGGCGGACTAATATACAGTTAATATACGGTGTTACTAAATACATTAAAATATATTTGATAAATTCGGTTTAGCGTTACTGGAAATATTGAGTAATAATAATGTAATAGGTGTAAATCATGAAGAAATATTAAAAAATTTGGCAACCGGCAAACTTAGCTTGTCGGTTTGTGTCGATACTTTATAAAAATATATTGATCCATAATAATATAATTGGTAAAAAATAACAAAACCGGCCTATAAATGACAAAACAGGTAAAGAGCTACCGGATATATTGAAAGTGTCAATACTTTATAAAAATATATTGATCCATAATAATATAACAGGTAAAAAAATGACAAAACCGATCTATAAATGACAAAATAGGTAAAGCGCTACCGGATATATTGAAAGTGTCGATACTTTATAAAAATGTATCGATCCATAACAATATAACAGGTAAAAAAATAACAAAATCGGTCTATAAATGACAAAACAGGTAAAGCGCTACCAGATATATTGAAAGTGTCGATACTTTATAAAAATGTATCGATCTATAACAATATAACAGGTAAACAAATGACAAAACCGGTCTATAAATGAAAAAGCAGGTAAAGCGCTACCTGATATGTTGATAGTGTCGATACTTTATTATAAGTATCGACACTTTTAGAATTTAAAAGAGAATAAGTTATAGCGCTAATAAAGTGTCGATACTTTATAAAAATGTATCGATCCATAATAATATAATAGGTAAAAATATGACAAAACTGGTCTCGAAATGACAAAACCGGTAAAGCGCTACCGGATATGTTGAAAGTGTCGATACTTTATTATAAGTATTGACACTTTTAAAATTTAAAAGAAAAGAAGTTATAGCGCCAATAAAGTGTCCATACTTTATAAAAATGTATCGATCCCTAACAATATAACAGGTAAAAATATGACAAAACCGGTCTCGAAATGACAAAACCGGTAAAGAACTACTAGATATGTTGAAAGTGTTGATACTTTATTATAAGTATCGACACTTTTGGAATTTAAAAGAGAATAAGTTATAGCACCGATAAAGTGTCGATACTTTATAAAAAATGTACCGATCTATAACAATATAACAAGTAAAAATATGACAAAATCGGTCTCGAAATGACAAAATCGGTAATAAAAAAATGTGCTTGTGTGGTCATTTTTATTTCAGAATTTTCATTTTTTAATACAAAAAGTTGGATATTTTAAGCAAAACTCAATAAGAAATCCACCATGTTATAAGTTTCTCAAAGAACAAAAACCCAAAAACAAACATCTCTCAACGCAAACTTATGATATACTCTTATTATCTCTATAGGATAAAGTTAGGTCAGTTTTAGTTTTATTTTTTTGTTGGGATTTTGTGTCATTGAAAATGTTGATTGAAGAACTCAAACTGGTGCACGCATAAGTGTCGATGCATTTATGAAAAGTATCGATCCAAAAAACATCGAAATCAATAATTATTATGTAACAGGTAAATTTACAATGTAACCGGTAAAAATATACTAGTTAATTAGCAAATAGGTTTACATTATGTATCGACACTCTTTAAATATGTGTCGATACTTTTTTCCCAAAATGAAAGCACAACGAGGTGCACGCATAAAGTATCGATACATTTAAAATTGTATCAATCCCAAAAACATCAAAACCGATAATTATAATGTAATAGGTAAATTTGTAATGTTACCGATTTAAATATATCTGTTTAGTTAGAAAATATGTCAATATAAGCGTTACCTATTATATTATATAAGCGCTACCTAATATATTATTGTACTTGATAATGTTAAATGATATAACATAACCGGTCTAAATTTTAATCGGTTACTTGTTTAACATGTCACACCGTTTTTTAACCGTTTTTAAGCGTCGTATAACAGAAGTTCTCTAGAAAATGAGGTTTGACTAAACTAATATTATTCATCTGTGATAGATTAAATAATAATGAATTCTAGAAGAATAAAATTGTCGTGTTTTTTTGCCGAATGTTATTAACAACTTTGGCTTCTTCACCTGCCTTTAATGTTAGTGCACATGGAGGGGTCTTCCATTGCAGCCCTTTTTCTGAAAATATTATTTAATAATATTTAAATATTAATTGAATGTCGATAAAAGTATTTAACAGGAATCAAATCTAGATGACATAAATATATAATATCACAATTATTCATATATTATTATCTAGTTTTAAAATATTTTTTTAGTGTTAAGAAATAAAAAAAAAACATAATTAATCCCTATCTCCTACATGCGGGGAGGTACGGGTGACAACCCTAATATATTTCATTATTTAAAAGTATAAAATTTAAATAAAATTTGAAGTCCTTAATTAGTGTGATGTGAATCTCTTGAGACATTGTTTATAATGGACCAATACATGCAATTCTGTCACCAAGAGTACATGCCACGTCAACTACCTAAACACTATTATCGCGTCACTAGCAGGACCACTAGTTCCTTGGTGCTTCCCGGCCATAATAAACAAATAATTAGGCGTAAGCTTCACGTATTTATATTTAATAAACTTAATATACACACACGTTTATACCTGATTAGTGAAACTGATAAATTACTCTTACAATATGCATATTGGTTTCATCAACAAACATTGAGAAGCTAATACGAATTCATTGTCACTCAATCATAAAAGAAAATATAATTCTTTTCCAAAATCTGATTGGTATATAAAATAAAAATAGTTCTGAAAATATTTATCTTAAATTACTTTATATTATTGAAAAACACTGATAAGTTAACATATTAACATAGAATTTTGTTTGTGCATAGAGAGAGAGAGACGATGAAATTAACAAAAAATAGCTAACCAACATTGACAAAGGAACTAAACACAACCCTCTTTTCTTCATCCCAATATCAATTTTAAGTTCCTTTTCTTCTTCTTCTTCAACAATCTGATTCTGGGAATAGCTTTTTGAACCATTAATTTCCTTCACCTATAAAATCAGCAATTTCCGGTATCAATAAGTTAGGTCAACTTTCTAACAAAAGAAAACACTAATAAATATTCTTTTAAATATATAAGTATAATTACCAGGGAACTATGCATTTGATCTTCTTCTTCCTCTCTTTTTCTAGGATTCATATCATTTGATTTGAAGTTACTTCTAACCTACTAAAAAAATTATGAGACCACTACTTTTAAGCATCAAATCAAGATAAAAGCAATATCGAAGTTTAAAAAATGCAGAAAAACGTGTGTTATTGGCACCTGCGGACTATTAACAGGAGAACTAGCAGTATCCTCCAAAGAATCATCCTCACAGATTTTCTTGGTTCCTGTTTTCTTGAACCTCAATTTGTTGGGAACTGTCGAAGGGCAGGCCAACACACGACGGTCTTCGTGGCATATTATACGCGGCGCGACAGCCGTCGTGGCGGCATCGGAGATCAAGGAAGAGCCGCAACTGAAACCAGGAGAGTAGGTTTTTGGATGATGAGAATGATTGGAGAAATCTTGAAAGTAAGCAGTCCACCCACTTTCTTCGGCTGACTCCTTGGTTGTTGCAGTTGTTGTTCCTTTGGAAGCAACGGATTTGTGTGTTGATGAAGTAATAGATTTATTCTCCATTAATCTAACAAGACTAGAGATTAGAGATTTTAGGTTTAGTTTCTTGGGGAAGAAAAGATGGAGAGGCTCTTAATCATGGGTGTGTGTATATATATATATATATATATATAGATTAATTCTGAAAATAATATAGAGAAAATGGAACCCACAATGCAGAAGAATCTTGGTGTAGCCAAGGTGGGCCGATGGAAGTCAAAAGCAGCGGTTACAACACAATATTACAATTTATAACTCATAGTTTCCTCAAACAATATTTAATGTATCAACGGTTTATGATTTTATACATTATTAACGATTCACCATCATAAAAGTTTAATAAATGCACGAATTATCTTATCTCAGTGAGTAAAAGAATTGTTGTTGTTCCTAGAGGTTATGTATTTGAGCACCAACCATTGTAACTAGGTGATTGAGCGTTCATTGTCAAATAGTTGAGAGGATTTAGAAGATATAATGCTTTGCAATCACCTTAATTTGTTGAAGATTTATAAAATTATGTCATGAACTCATTGAGTAACCTAAGTGGTAAATGAAATGTTATTCTCCTTAAAGGACCTAGGTTCGAGCAATTGCGTCTGCATGGTGTGTGATATCAATAGTTAAGACAAATTATGAATAGATATTATCTTGTATTCATTCAATTTTGGAAATAATGTGTTTGATTGAGCCAAATTCAATTAATGTTGGGTTTTTTATACCAATAATGCTGAAAGTTGGACTTAAGATCAAAAGGTTTGAACTAATAAAGCAAACCCCACCTAATGTTTAGTGGATAACATTTGCTTGCTCTTTCTCTCCTTTGATTAGATGTAATTGTACATACTTGTGCATGATTAAATGTAAACATAATTTTCTGGGTGATGTAGTACTAACTGGTTCGATGACAAGAACTTTTTCTTCCTTTCTCTCATATACGTTGATCGTGCTTATAATTTTAAAGGTGCGTGATCTAAAATTATTGAGTGTTCTCAGAAATAAAAGAGATGTTGTTTACTCTAAAGATCTTGAATTCAAATAGTTGTATGTGTATATAAGACGAATATATTATCAATTATTAATAAAAATCCTGCACACGTATATCTCTTAAGAATCTAAATATGCCGGCAAACTTGACAGAATTTTTGGGTTGTCTCTAGGGGTGTTTGCGCCTCTTGATCATGAGAGGTATTTGGGCTTGCTGTCCTTGGTATGTCATAGTAAAAAGGTGATTTATTAAAACACGCTAGTATTATTAAAAATAAAAGTATTTAAAATTATAATAAGAGTTTATAATTATCTTTGTAAACTAAATATATAATTTGGACATTTTTCTATAACATTGAAACTAGTCACTTTAGATCATATAAGGACCACAAATGAAAAAAGTTAAAAATCCAACCAAAGGACTCAAACAAAAAAATAGATATAAACTAATTTGATTGCATCGGCAAACGAACCATGAAAGGAAATTATGCTATTGAAAGACCATCAAGAATCGCAAATCAGAGTTGAGCGTCTTGAGAAACTATTCACGAACGTAAAATCGTGCATCCAAATTCAATCTGAGGGTCCATAACATGAAAGATCAACAGGATTACAAATTGGCATAATTTTGATCAGTCGTGACATCGTCAAATCTAACCATGACAAAACATAAAGAAAACGAAAAATATGTCACAAAGGGAGAGAAAAACGCGCCACAAAGACAAAATTATTTTTATTAAAAAACTAAAAAATGAAATAAAGAAAAAAAGAAGAACCAACGGTCGACAACCAGCATCAATACTGGTATCTGGTATCGTCGTTGACTAAACAAATTTCTAAAGAAATTTGAAACTTTTAGTCCAAAATGATTAGGGGTTTTATGATTTTGTTGCATAGTTTTGATATTTATTTCGAAGTTTCAATTTAGAGGTGTTAAAGTGTTTTTAAAATTGATTTGAGATTGTGATGCTATTACTTAAAAGTGAACGAATCTTGTATCTTTAAATCATATTTAAAAGTCATCTAACGATTAAATCTACATTCATTGTGATTTACAAATAAATTCTTTAACACTCAACTATTAATCATACTAAAAAATTCTAAAAAATGCATTAAATATTTCATTCTATCCCCTGTATCATATATATCAAAATCCAATAAACATAAATCCAGTTTAAAATCCATAATTCATATTGGGATGAATTGATGTTGGGCTGTGTCCATCAAACATAGTTAAGTGGTGGTTTTTTTGCCTCAATATCCCAAAATAAAAATAAAAATAGTCCAATAGGGCATGTGAAAGTTTATTTTGGGATCAACAGCATTTGCTACGGTGATTAAAAACTCATCACGTCGAGGTGATGAATTTTAATAAAAAATATTTTTTTATTTAAACTTTTATTCTATTGTGATAAAATTTAATAAAAAATTATATTTTATTAAAATTAATCACATTGACGTGACGAGTTTTATGAATACCATAAAAAAATATTGTAGAGCCCAAAATAAAATTGTCTTTGCCTTACTTTGTCAATTTTTTTTGGATTGTGTTATTGGACCCAAAAAAACCTAGTTTAGTGCACCAAATTTTGATATGTGATATTGGGCTTGATTTATTAATGACAGTGACGTAGTACGCTTGATTTATTAATGACAGTGACATGTACATGTTCAATGGGCTGCGATCAGTAATTCAATTTCGCTATGCCCAATTTTTATATAAAGTTTGGACCAGCAGATTTTATGCACAACTTAATATGCATATATATTATGTTGTATTATGCCAATAATTATAGTCTCTAGGCTTGATTTCTGTATTCGAAGACTAACAATTTTATTTTACTCTAAAAAAATTATAAGATAGTATATGTTCAAAATTTTCTTTAATTATTGGTAAAACGTATATACCCTACAAAGATCGTTGCTCGAATCTAGAATATCTAAAAAGAATAATATACTTTTAACCACTAAGATCACTTGATGATTTATTTTTATTAATTGTATGATAAATATATATATACACGTTGAGAAAATTTATGAAATTTAGGTTGTACAAATTCAAGAAAACCTGGAATTCAATCGAAGTTGCCAGGGAGGAAAGTTTCAACTTGGAAGCAAACAAAAGGAAATAACTTAGGGTTGACTAGTTAATTATTTTAGGCGGCTAAATAAAGAAGAAAAAAAGGCATTTTTCAATAGCATCGGTTGACTGTTATTGACTTGAAACCAATACAACCCATAATAAATTTAGGGTTTTAATGTATTGACCTCCAAGCCTCATCATTTTCTCCTCTTTCTTTTTTCACGTTCTAATATTTAATGGGCAATACTGAAGGTGTAGGACTTGAGCCAACTTGTCTTTGGTATTGGCATAGCCTTCGATGAAAGCAACAACGTGACCCCATGAATGATACTGCTCCGGCACCATCTGCAAGCTCGCCACTGGCCCTACACCCTTACCTTGCGTTTCTTTTTTATTACGACTTCCCTTCTTCATATTAATACATACATAATTTGTTATTATCATGGTTATCAAAATCGGACCGGACCGGCCGGTTCAACCAGTTAAACCGAGAACTAATTACCTGTCCGGTCTGATCAGCTTTCAAAATCAGTTTTGTAATAAGCCGACAGAAAATCGGTAAAACCGGTGTGAACTTGCTGAAAACTGGCAAAACCAATGTGAATCGCTGTTTTTTTTTCTTTTTAAAAGAATTAAATCAAACGATGTCGTTTGTTAAACAAGCTGAATCGAACTCGAGTATTGCTAAGCTCAACTCGAACTCGAAAACTTTAAAAGTAAGCTCAACTCGACTAAAAAACTCACGAGCTAAAAATTATCAAGCTCAGCTGAAACTCGAACTCGAAAAGGCTCGAACTCAAAAAAAATTCAGAAGCTCGATTGAAGCCTGAAATTCGAGTTCGATTGAAGCGAAAGAATAGTTCGCTCTATGCTCAACACAAGGCTCCATGATTTTGAATGCCAAATTACCTCTATTATTTATAGAAGTCAGTTGGGATGCTCTTCTATATTTCTTAGCCATGTGAGATTGTTTTGTTCTCTTATTTTTTCTCTTCTATGCTCTTTAGACGTTTTTCTGTAGTTCTGTGTATATTAATATTACTTTGAATATTATGTAAAATTTAAAAAAATATTATTTTATATAAACTGGTTAAACCACGGTTAAACCAGTGAACTAGAGAACCATTACCTTCACCGGTTTAAGGTTCGGTCCGGTTTTAAAAACACTGGTTATTATCATTATGCTAGTCCACAACTGAATTAAGGAAAATGTTGAAAGAAAACAAAACCAATCGGAAAAAATAAGTATTCTCAAGATTAAATAGGAATATACTAGGGTATTTTCAAGATTAATTAAGAAGATGGGTAGGGATACATATACAATTTTGTGGATTTCGAACCGTACATTTTTTAATTTGAGCGGATATAGGTAAAAGTTTAGTGGACAGTGGACGGGTGTAGATGTAAAAAGTCATATCTGTCATGGGTAAGTGAGCAGTTTAAGACCTTATCCTCCCACATTCGCTCGTCCACTAACTACCTACCATATAAATTTTGGACAATTATGAATTTATATATAATTTTAGAGACTATTATGTTAATCTTAAGATTTTATAGGACATTACTTGTAATTTAACCAAATGTTAGGGTATGAACATTTTAGAATTGAAGATCATCGTTTTTCCTATCTCAATTTAACAGATATGAGCAAATATAGACGAGTACGAAATGAATAGTAAATATCTAGTTGGATAGTGGGGGTGGAGTTGATTTGAGAATGTACCTGCATGGACAGATGTGGAATTAAAATTTTACCTGTCTTAAATGATGGGTAGATGATGAACATGAAAATATTAGATGGGTATAGAAATGGGAAAGGAGAAATCTACACCCGCCCACCCATTTACCATCCTTAAGATGGGGTGATTTACATAATAATCAGTAAGTAATTTTTTTAGATTTTTTTTAAAGTTACCATCTAAATTAGTTGATGACATCACTACAACAAAATGGGTTTATAACGGCATTTTTAGCGACGTTTTTAGAATAAATTCCGCTAAAAACT